CTAAACAAGTTAACAAAAGTTTGTTTAGTGGGTGACACTCACTAAACAAAATATATTTTTCTCTCAAATTTAAGTGTGTCTCAGTGTTTGTAGTACATACAGAGTGTACTGAACACACTGTGATCATCAGAGTAAATAACAGCAAAATGTGGTAGCAGGTGGTAAAAGTGAAAACACATTTTAATGTATGAGGACAGGGAGGGGGTTTAGTGGCAGTGGACTAAAAAATCTCCCCACACCTTTTTTTGTGCTGTGATAGAGTGAGAGGCAGAGGCTTAAGTGGGTTTGTCGGGCCAGTAACAAACTATATTTAATCAAGATCACAAATGAAGTCAACTTTTGGATTTATTTACATCCTAAAATAAAATAAATATAAACATGTAGTCTGGGTCATTGCTCTGAAAAAAGCATGTCTTCAATAAGTTGTAGAAAATTTGATAACGATGCTGTGTCTTCATTTTTCAGAGACAGTCCTCTCAGCTGCGTAGAACATCAGTAGGACGTGGACTTCAACTCACCCCTGGAATCAGCAGTACGGTAAGAAATCCTCTGTAGGCTCAGGAATTTAATGAAATTGATTATGTTTATCTTTTTTATTACATTGTTGTACCAAATAAATATTGAAGCTGACACTTTGTGTTTATATTGTTGCAGCAACATTTCTTTGATGATGACGACAGAATGGTTCCCAGTACTCCCACTCTGGTGGTCCCACACCGCACTGATGGCTTTGCTGAGGCTATACAGTAAGATCCACACAGAGTGTGTGATTATTCAGACTGCACAGTAAAATACATAACACCTAAACATCTAATGACCGCTGAAGACCTACAATGTCAGATGAGAATGTTTACAATGGTTAACTCAGCAGGAATCCAACAACCTGCATTATATGTTTTTACTGATTATAAATCCTAGAATCCCGGCATTTTCAAAAAGAGCAAAGTGACACCCATCTAGTTTTTATAGCTTCATACATCCAAAATGTTTTGTTGATAATATATACATTAAATACTTCAGCAGTCCAAAGAATAAGAAAAAAAAATACAGACATAACAAGGTACTATATTGAACACGATATATGATCATTTCACGATTTCTGTGTGTACACTGGACAATGGTGAATAATAAAATGGTCCGTATTTATATAGCACTTTTCAGTCTTGATGACCACTCAAAGCGCAATTCACACACACACACACACACACACACACACACACACAGAACATGCAAGCAAGTTTTGTGTCACCACCTCTCTGTCTCCCGTTTATCTCCTCAGTTCCCCTCAGGTAGCTGGTCTCTCTACCAGGTTTAGATTTGGTCCTCCGGAAGACCTGCTGCCTCAGGCATCAGCGTCACACTCTGACCTCGGACAACTGGCCTCTCAAGGAGGTACGCGCTCACACACACAGACACTCACAAACACACACTCACAGACACAGACACACACACACACACTCACAAACACACACTCACACACACAGTCACTTACATAGTACCACCTGATCTACTTTTTTGTGTTTTAATTTTCCTAACACTCACTGCTGTGTTGTAGGTTTGGGGATGTATGAGTCTCCTCTGTTCCTGGCTGCTCATGATGAAGATGGAGGAGGAAGGAGTGTCCCTACCACGCCTTTACAAGTGGCTGCACCAGGTACGACACACACACTCTTTACAATATTACAGTTCTACATAATCAGTTTCAAATATAGATGCTACATCATGTTCCCTGACTCTCAGTGACAGTCTTCACCGAGTCGCTGCCTTCAGACAGCGGTGACAACATGGCCTCGCAGTCTGTTCCCATGGTGACAGCCTCCACGGGGATGGCTTCCACTGCAGATGATGTAGATGAGGTGTTCGTGGAGCAAGAAGCAGAGGGGTGAGCAATGTGTGAGCAGTCAGGCCAGAGATGTACTTTATTAAACCATTGAGACTGACGTCATAGAATTTCTAGAAAAATGTCTAGAAACAATGTGACAAAGGTCTGTGAGATCACTGTTTGCGAAAGTAAAAGAAAAAAAATATTCTCATGGTCAGGTGGATTACAGGTCAAATATTTAGTGCTGTCAAACTGAATTCTGAACGTTTGGTTCCAGACAATGATTCTTTTTCAGGAGGGAGTGTCATCTAATCTTGTTTGTTTGTTGTCTTTAGACCTGGTATTGAGTCGTCTTTGGAAAGCCAGACAGACGTGGAGTCAACAGGGCAGCAGAGTGATGATGCATCACTGCCATCTACCAGCCAAGACCCCGGTAAATTCTTCAGTGTCCTGCCTCTAAATTTAAAAATCAACCACTTTAATAACTTTTTTAAAGCTCTATCAATCTCTTCCTGCTTGGGAAATAATCTTCCGTGGCCATGGTCACAGGACTGTGTTGCCTTTTTCAAACTCTACCCTGTTTCCTTTAGTCTCAAAGTTCTCATGGACTTGACTGAAAAGGAGCCGTTACTAATAATCCTTTTCATCATCAGTTAATCTGGATAATTTCTTAATCATTCATTTTACCCATAAAACTTCAGGAAGTAGTAAAACGTTACTGTTATCCAGTTTATTATATAACGCAAAAGTAGCCTATTATCTAACTATTATACATAAGATGTGAAATGATCTTAGACTTCATCATCCTTTTAGGTTTCTTCAGGAAGTCTTTCCATATGCAGGGATCTCGCAATACATTTCTGCACCTTGCTGACGCTCTTACACTTTCCTGCTGTTATGTTGAAAAACTTTTACTATGTTCTTATCTACAGTTTGTTTTGCTAATGCTTGTGTCATATCCAGTCTCATCTCTCATGTCCGGCTTTGTTCGCAGACAACAGCAGTGTTACTCAGCGGCGCATGATGAGCAGCCAATCCCTGATCAGCAGCCTGTCGGGCAGAGGAACCAGAGGAGGGAGGGGAGAAGCCAGGATGTTACTCAGCCGCAGAGGTAACACACTCAAGCAGTCCTGGGCGACAGAGCTAACAGATTAGACTGGAGTCACTCAGTGTGATGACGTTGTTACAGACATTGCAGGACTGATATCATGAGTAGAAATAATGTGAAATTAAATCGCTCTTCTCCATTTATTAACTGTTTTCTTCTGTTTCTTCACAGGGACTTACTCTCGGGGAGGAAGGGGAGGAGCCATGGGCAGGGGAGGCATCGCCTAATGATGATGTCAGCAGTAATGCCTTAGTCATCTCATTCGATGAGGAAATGAAAAGAAGCCTAATTTCAAGATTTATTATTTTTTGTTGATCTTAAATCATTTGCTACATTAAGAAATCTTGTGTCAGAATCAGCGATCACACTAGTACTAGACATGACAGCTTTGTATGTGTGTATGTGATTCTCTGATACGAGGTCATATTGTTAGAGAAATCCTGAGTTTTTAATTGTGTTTTGATATTTTTGATATAGTTTTTATGTGTATTCATTAACGCAGCTTTTGTCTTCTGATGTTACTTCCTGCATTTGTTCTATCAGGGCTGTTAATACACTTGTTTAAATAATAAAGTTGAATATTGAGTAATACTGGTTCAAGTCATTAGACATGAAAGAATGTGAGGATTTGCTGCTTTTATCAGTTTATACTTTTGTTAATTAATTCTCTTGGTTCTTAGACCAAAAAATATCTTTAAGATGTTTGCTTGGTTTTTGGGAAATTTAAATAAATTGATGGAGAGCTCTGTAATGAAAAAAACCCTGGATTTAAACCCTACACATAAGAATCAAATACACTTTTTCCACAGACCTGGACAATAAAACCTGAACAAACTCAACCCATCATCTGTTTTTCCTCATGAAATGAATGAATTTTTCCCTCAACACAGGAGGGAAGACAACTTGTAAAATGTTTATTTTCCAGTAGAAGTTACTTGTTGCACTAATGAACCAAAACAGTATGACCACTCAGAGATGAAGCAAATATTATCTCATAACAGCCTATGTCAACGTGTAGGATTTATTGGAAGGGAGGTAAACAGTTAGCTATTTTCTGTTGTGAAGACGTATTGGAGCTGTTGATGACAAATAAAGTTCCGAGTATTTTGGCCCAATGTGTGAGTTTTTAACAGCTGGATGGTGATTTAAGGATGATAATGGTGTTTGGTTACAAAAAGATGCACATCTGGGATCTAAGTGTACAAGCAAAAATTGCAACTTAACTAACCCAGTAGCTTTAAAACTGAAGCTTGTTTTCAAAGTGTGTTCTTATTAATTCAAACCTTAGAACTAGATTTTCAGGTTAATTAGGAACTTAATGTGAAATATCTATTTCACAATATTAAAGTGCATGATGTAGTTTTTTATTTAAAATATCTATTTTATTTTCGAACATATTTCAGGTTTTTTTCAAAGATTTGTATGATAGCAGTCAGAGATAACTACAGACGTCAGGGAGGTTATCTTTCGGTCTCTTTATTTGTCTATTTGCAGGATTGTGTATAAACTAGTCGACGGATCACCACAAAACAAGGAGGTCGTATGAGTAAGGAAAAAAGCCATTCAAATGTTAGTGCAGATCTGGATCAGGGGGTGGATTCAGGATTTTTCAACATTTTCGTTGATTTCTCCGAGAATAATTAACGACTCTTGATGAAAAAACATCAGGCACGTGTACAGGACTAATATGAAAAAAATGAAATTTAAGCTTTAAAGCTTTTGTTCATTTTGCATTGAAAATGGCACTCAAAATCACATTCCCATCAGAGGGAACTTTTTTAACTATAACAGATAGAAATGCATAGTTACACTTAGTTACGGTGGTAAAAGAACACATCTGGAAGGAAACATCTGGACAAAGGTCAATGACAACACAAACATCAGGGTCTGTCATCATACTCTTCCTCCTCATTCACCACTGTGCAGCTGCTGCTTTATGCACTGTATGACATTCTTATATATATATATATATAACATAATATATTATATATATGCAGCTGCATAATATGCTGTAACACTGGTAATGAGGGAAACTTATATTTGGGGGGAACTGACGTCCGCATGGTTTTGTTTCCGGTCGAACCTTTTGCAAGACGAACCCAGTGCAACAGTGACAGAAGTCTACTTTTATTTTTTTTAATGTAGCAGTATATCACTAGTTCACAGTTTATTATTCTTTAGTCACTAGAATAGCTTTCACAGGAAGAGCCTAAACAACCGAGAGGCTAAGCTAAGCTAACGAGGTGAGCTAACTAGCGTTACCCTCATGGACAAACAGCAGTGTGTTCAGTAGCAGTGCTAACTGGAGTTCAGCTAATGTTCTTATCGTTCTTATTGTCACTGTCATTATTATTACTCACTGTTGGTGTGAGCGGTTCCTACCGCAGCACGTGTACGTGGGAATAACATAAGAGTAGGTAGAATAACATAAGAGTAGGTAGATCTACATGTTTAATAGTTTAGAAATGATCAACTTGTATTCATACAAAGATAAAACATGTGACAGAGGAGGGCATACAGGGAACATTTCTATCTGTTTTATTTGTATTATGCTACTGTTTTTATTTTCTTTACCTCTTTGTCTCTTTTATTCTACTTTGTCAATCTTTATTTTGCTTGAAAATTGTTTTAATCTGTGCTTTTGGATTTAATTTTTTTTGTGTGTGTCTCTGTTGTTTTAAATGTCCCTGTACAGCACCTTGTATTTATCTCTCGTAATGTGCTGTATAACTAGAGAGAGAGAAGAAGAATGAAAACATATATATCTAATAACATTCGTCAGTGGATGCAAAAAAAAAAGAAGGAAACTAAGCACCAACAATATTTTTAGTTTCTTTAAATTCCCCAGTACTAATAGAAAAAAAATGATAGTTTAGATTTTTCTCTTTCAATCTTTAACTTCCACATTTTAGGGGGAAAAATATTTTAAAGCGTTGAAACACAATCACACAATGAAACAACAACGAATAAGTATGAAGAAAACTTGACCATTTTTTTCTCAAGTTTGTTGTTTCCTGCCTTTTAGATAAATACGAGCTGTCAGTGGTCCTATTTATGAAAACACAATCATAAGGAATCTATTTCAAAAATCCTCTGGTTTTCTCCTGGTACGAACAGACAGATGTGAGCTCTCTGTGTCTCTCTTTGCAGTCATGATCCTGGTGGACCCCGGTCTGTACATTGGCACCGCGGCCGATCTCAATGACAGGCAGGCACTGGCTGATGCCGCTGTCACTCATGTCCTGTCTGTGGACTCTGTCGACCCCACCCCTCAGCTTCCCGCTGATGGTGCCTTCTGCATGAAATGGATCAACGTCTTAGATGAGGCGACCTCTGACCTCCTGAGTCACCTGGACGACTGCTACCTGTTCATTCAGGAGGCTGTGGTTGGAGGTGGGGCTGTCATTGTTCACTGGTAAGGGTCAGAGGTCATCGGGAAGCCCTGAGTTTGGCTCTGTTGTTTTTTTGCATCATGCCTCTTGTATTCTTTAATGTATTTCTAGCCAGAGTTTTTTGTGTATTTGCCAAATATCCGTAAAACATGTCAGAAGTATTGTCAGCAAAATGTACTTAAAATATCAATAATAAAAGCAGTCATGTAGTATAATATCTGCTGTGTCCATTATTAGATTTGAATACTGATGCAGAGATGTGTAGGCAGCTTTTTTATGTTGTAGCTGCTGTGGGAATTAGAACCTCTATATTCAGTTAGTTTGATAAATATGAAAGCCATGCTGTATGGCAGAGGTTTTCAAAGTAGCAGGTTGGCCTCCGGTGATGCTCAGTGAATGGAAGTGACATAAATACAATATCTATCACTAATTGGTGTCTGTTACAAGAAGAAGATAGGTATAGAGCTGACTGAATGTGTGTGATCTGGTTAAAGACATAGTTCAGAGATACATTAGTTTGGGGAATCTTCACTGTTTGTCAGGGTCAGACATTGAAAAAGACCCTCAGACAAACGCTTTTTAAATATCAAATCAAACTTTATTGTCCCATAGGGAAATTTATTTTGGGCTATAGTGCTGCAGAACAGTAGATTTTGCAACAAACAACAGTAACAATAATAATGCAGAATAAAAGTGAGTTGAATATTGCATCTGCCCTAAAAACACTTAAATGATAAAACACTAAAAGGATATGGCAAGATGAAAAACAGAAACTGGTATTAAAACTTAAAAACCGAAGTGTGAGATGTGCTAGACAAGTGCAAGGGTTATTAAGGTACATGACCAATATTTTGTGAAGTCTCAAGTTATGTCAAACAATATTAGGTTCTCTAGTTGTGGGGGTGAGGAGATGCTTTTTTCCAAACTTTGTCTGAGCCTAAACTAAAAAACAAACAGAAGGCATTAGATTGTGTGTGTGTGTGTGTGTGTGTGTGTGTGTGTGTGTGTGTGTGTGTGTGTGAATAGCACTTTAGAAAAGCGCTATATAAATACAGACCATTTTATTATTTACCATTGTCCAGTGTGCACACAAACAGAAATCGTGAAATTATCAATTATCTTGTGTGTGTGTGTGTGTGTGTGTGTCTCAGTCAGGCCGGTCGAAGTCGCAGTGCCACCATTGTGACTGCTTATCTAATGAAGAGATACCAGCTGGGCTTCATAGAGGCCTACCACAGACTGAAGAGTGTCAAACAGGATGTACAGTAAGTGTGTTTCTGTGCGTCCGCACGTTAATTAGCTAAAATCACTGAGGCTACTTCCACACTGCTACATTTTAGTTTTACCCATCACTGTCGCTACACTTATGTCTGTCATCCACTCTGGAATTTTCCTCTCTCAACTGTTGAATTTCAGTTGAAATGGGTTGTAACTGAGACTGATTAGGAAACGATGCAGTTACCCACATTTGCTTTGAGTGTCAGTCACAACTCGACTACCAGAGGTGAACGCAAAGCATTTTTAACACTTGCTGTCAGTAGCAGTTCCACTTTGTTGTTGGTCCAAGGGAAAAAATGCTCTTACTCATGCTCTTACTTTTTACCATTACTGTTATTTATTTGTAGTATTTTCTGTAACTGGGCAACCACTGCTTCCTGTATACACTGGCTAAAACTGTGGAACGTAATGGTGTGGATGTCGCCTGAAAGTTTCTCTGTTGTCTGTTCTGGGTTTATTCACTTTCAACCTTTAAGTGATAAAAGAATTTAGGTGAAGTGAGTTTTTAGAGAATTGACAGAAAGGTGGGAGAGGCAGATGGGGAGTTTGACAGCTGCTGATGTGTTTCAGGGTCAACAGTGGTTTTGAGGAGCAGTTGTATCTTTATGAGGCCATGAAGGGTGAAGTGGACGCCTCCAGTCCTCTGTACAAACAATACAGACTGAAGAAGATCACTGAGAAGTACCCTGGTAAACACACACATTACAGACATGTTTCTTTCATTTGATTCTTTGATTATTGGACATTTGCAATATTTTCCAACTCTCTGTGTTTGTGTATGTGTGTTTAGAGTTGCAGCAGATTCCCAGGGAGCTGTTTGCTGTTGACCCTGCCCACTCCAGCTCCTCTGAAGTGTCCTATCGCTGCAGGAAATGCAGGTGACAGGTGCAAATTTTATACAGTGGCTGAATGTGGGGCGGTTTTATAATGGAGGTGATTCATGTTGTATAGAAAAATTTAAAGACCTTAAGGGACCTTCCTATAGGAAACTTTACTGTATTTGTCATTTTCTTCCTGTATGTATGATGGTAACAATAATTGCTGTCTGCAAAGAATTGCTTTTATTTTACAAATAAGCTGCTTTAGAAATCATTTTGTTTCAATCTATGGCTGTAACGGAGGCTCAAAGACTAAAGAGTGAAAGAGTTTTCACGTCAGAGAGAGAACCACATTCATGCCACAGCTGCAGATGAAACTATGAGGTCTGCCCGACAGCACATTCTTGGAAATCTTTTAATGTCATTATGAGAAATGTAAAAAAAAAAATTGGTTCATTATGAAACTGTGGTGGGACAAATTAGAGCTGTAACAACACTGCAATGTGTTTAAAGCAGTAACTGAACATTTTCCGGGAAATGCACAACCAGACTTCATCTCTCCTCTGCAGACGAACTCTGTTCCGTGGCTCCAGTATTCTCAGTCACCCAGTAGGAGAAGGAGCGTCAGCCTTTGCTCACAAGAAGTTCAGTAACTTCACTGGTAAGATAATACACGATGACACACACAGAGGTCGACAGACAGCACGAGGTGAAAGGGACAGGAGCATGGTGGTGGTCTGAAAACCAAGCAGCAGCAGTGGCTGTGACGTCATATCTGAACACACAAACACGATGCACACAATTTTGTGTTCAGTGTGTAGTAAATATTATAATATTTCCATTGCAAATAAACATCCATGGCTCAACTTTTTTTAGATCCAAAGCGTGACTCACTGAATCCATGGCAACAATGAACCTTCTAGAAAAAAAGTTCCTGTGGCCTTTCTCTTTGTCTTTTTTGCAGCAGACATTGAGAGTTAACAAACACTAATAACATGAAAGGTCTGTTTACGTGTGCTGATGTACTAGTGCTGTTGTTCCAGAGGGAGCTGTGGGAAGTCTAATGAATTTGGCAGTAGCTCAGTAACTAGAGTTGCAAGACACTTTCATCAGATGACACAGAACTTTGCTTCCTGATTGCGTCTAATCGATCATGATGTATTCTTTCCTGATTGATCAGGCTCCCTTCACTTCACCCTCCTCTAGAAGGAAACAAACAGTAGTGTGTGTGCTCGTAGCCTCAGAAAGAAACAACAGTGTCTCATGTGGAGGCATCAGAGACACTGCTGCTCAAAAGAACACCTGGAAAATGTTGGAGTCATACGGCGTGATGAATAATTAGATTATGTTCATATTCTTAACATGATAATTCATACAGACTAGTGTGCATGTTAAAATACCAACTGACAGAAATGTTTACGAAGTGGATGTCAACCTGAGCAGAGTCCGAACTGTCAAAATATTAAATATAATAATAATATTTGATAAATAATATTGCAAATCAATGTAAGTCAGTTTTTCACTTGAGAATGGCAAATGTGTTGTCTAGAAGGCGTCCAGTGTACATCTTACTTCATTGAACCAGTGCAGTGGATGGAACAAGCTTTACTTGGCGTGATGGATGGACAGGTAATTCACAACACACACGCACACACACACACAGACACACACACAGACACTCACACACACACACACACACACACA